AACTCAACCATCTCTGTTTTTTTAATCGGGCCTGCCTTGTAATGCAGAAATAGATTCTGAGAGAACAATGCAAACTTGACCTGAGACATGATCAAATTGTGCCTCCTACAAACGCAATTGCTATGGATACTCTCTCATTGATCGGATGTAAACTGGCTGACAGCCATCTGATTGCTTCTTATTTCCAAACAAGTCACGCAACAGAAATAATCTGGGAGCTGTCAACCACATCAATTTTAGCAGCTGGGTATGTGAATAATGAATCAGACTACCAGCAGGAACAGGATTGTACAAACGTTCGGGAAACGTAGACATCCACAGACGCACAGGATTAATATTTCGCGTTCCTACGCAATGCATAGCGGACACACTGGCATGCTTACACATCTTCTGCACGTGATGACAAAAAAATGAATTCCTTTCATTTCATTTGCCAAGCAACAGAACACGATATTTGGTATTTTTTATCTGGTGGATATTGATTATGACATTAGCAATGTTTATGTGATTTTTAATGGTTGTGCATTCCGACGATTTACAGGTCAGTTTCTCAACTGCTGACTCAAAAACTGTGCGATTATCGCATTATTATTACTCATCTATCCCACATTATGTACCACTACGGAGTCTGCAAATGACGGTGGACTTGATAGTACATTCGTGACAAACAACTTCGCCGGTGTCCGGATGCCAGACCAGTGTTTCGACCCAGGCGTCCTGTCCCTTATGCTTTCCAAGCATTTGTTGAACAGAAGCTTGATCGATTACAATAGGCCGGAGTGATCAAACTAGTCAATTTCTTACCGTGTGCTGCGCCTATTATTGTCATCAGGAAACCGAACGGTTCTATTAGTTTGTTTGCAGATTTTTCAATGGACTGAATGCTGCACTGAACCCCATCAGTCTTCGCTTCCACTTCCAGAAGACGTGTTTGTAAAACTGAACGGAGGCAAGTATTTTGCTACTCTTGATCTTGCAGTCGCCTACTTGCAGTTAGAAGTTGAACCGGAAAGCAGAAAGCTTCTAACAATCAACACGCATCGCGGTCTCTATCAGTAGGCTTATTTGCAGTATTCTTTGAGTGTAGCTCCGTCCTGCTTTTCGCTGATGATATCAAGATATGGCTAGCGATTTGTAACGATGAATATCAGATTAACTCGAATAATATTAGTTCGCTTTTACGATTCATCAAATTGGAACAAGTAAGGAGATCACATCCACTAAAAGTATTTCAGCAGCATGTCCTGTGATTAATAATACCGGCAGAAGGCGATTGCTCAAGAGAAGCCGAGATGGAGTCAAAAGCCGGCAACCTGCATATTGGCATTCTTCACAGATCCTTCGGTCTGTTTGTATAGCCAATCAATTCTATCCTGCTGAGGTATGTTTCTACCATATTGAAACATTTTGCTAGCAAATTTTCTTGTGGTTCAGTGGGTGGTTGCTGTGGTGGTTTAATGTTTGGGCTGTGTGGGGCTTCTTTTGATTAACACATGTCTGAAGTGTTCCGTAAGTGTTTCTTTGGACCAGTAAATCTTAGAATTTTAACGTTTGTCAGTCACGAAATTTCAAAAGAAACCATGATAAAATTGCTTCGAAATCAACCAAACACAATCTGAAACCTCGAACCTGAAAGCATATGGGAACTTTTGGCAAGCTGCATGACCACTTAGTTTTACTTTTTATGGGCAAATGTACCAACAACTGAAAGGAACGCCCATGGGATCGCCCATCTCAGGACTTATTACAGAAACTGTGATGTAAAGTCTGAAGAGCAGCAAAATACCGTTAATCAAACCAAAAGTATGGATCCGATATGTGGACGACACGTTTGCCTTCATCAAACGAGATTCCATGCAGAATACCCATGAGTCAATCAACAACACATTCCAGAATATCAAGTTTACAATTGAACTCGATAAAGACAACCAGTTACCATTCTTAGATGCACTGTTCCAATGAAACACTGACGGAACACTTCAGATATGTGTATATCGAATGAAGACCCACACCGAACAAATACTAAACTACCACAGCAACCATCCACTGAACCACAATAGAAGCTACATGCAAAGCCTTTTCAATAGAACCGGAACACACTGCAGCACGACAGAATTGAGAAAGACGGAAGAGAACCATCCATACTGGGTATTGCAAAACAACGGGTATCCAAGAAACTTCATCAGAAGAAGCCTATATGTTAGGGTGCAACAACAACAGCAGAAAAACATAGATAAACGGGTAGCGCTTCCCTATATCAAGAATGTATCTGAACTAACGTCAAGATTGCTACAACCAAATATAATCTTGGTAGCCCACAAACCAACAGGTTCTTTGCGGAGATTGCTTTCAAGACCGAGGTACAAAGTTAAACAAAGCAGTCAGAATGATGTCATCTACAAAATTAACTGCGAAGAGTGTGACAAACACTACATCGGGCCATCTGAAAGGAAAATATCAACACGGATCAACGGACACAGGATGGCCATATGGAGACATGACTCGATTCATTAGTTTCAATGCATGAAGACCAAGAAGGTCACCACTTCGACCTAAAGAACGTTAAGATCCTAGCCCGTGGAAATTTGAGGAAAGCTAGAGAATTCTTAGAAGCATGGTATTCTACCGACAGTTCAATAAACCGACACGTTGAAAAAATGCTATATATACAGCAGTACGGATGAAAGATCCCCGAATTATTTGAAGCAATCTAACGGAACAGAGCGCTAGACTACTGCATCGAACGACGACAAGCGAAGAGTCACAAGCGCGTACACTACAAGGTGAGAATCAGAGATCGATTTCCATGGTCATGTGCTCGTCGAACAATCCAAATTCAGACCAAGGGTTAGGAGATCGATCACTCACACTCACTGACGCTTCGTACGCGCCACTCTGCTAAATACACGCACACTGACGATGTCACCTCGAGTGGTGACGAAACGTTTGCAGTAAAACTACCGAGCTCAGCCAACAATCAGACAACTAACTGAACAACCTGAGCTACCAAAATTTGCTTCTTTAGCCCACGGCATAATTGCTTTGCTCGAGTTCTCCAACACAATTCCAGTAGTCTCCATCCCATGTCTAATTGTTTCCGTAGACTCAAATTCAGAAGTTACATTGGGCTAATTGGCAGGTTGCATTAGGGGAACTGGTCTTTAACTTAGGCAGATTATCTTTTTATAACAATAAGAACCATTATCCTCCGTTGTTTTACATATATCAGTCGTTCAAAGTTGTACTCCGTTAAGTATAATGCCTTTACCAAAAAAGTACTCTAACATATGTCATCCGATCTTAAATGCATCGGTGAGCTTGAATGTCTTCTACAAACTAATTGCTCTTCTGATTTTCGCACGCACCAATGCAGTCGATATACTTTAGTTCAAGTTCAGACAGGACAGCTTCAACCGGATACTTTGTCATTTATTGTGCATTCCGCAACATCTGCACTGAATGGCAAAATTGAGGCAGTATGCCCTCCCTTTATCGACTATACAGAGGCCTTCGAGAACAGTGACAGACAAATTCTGCTTAACCAATTGTTTGCGAACTGGGTTTTAACAAACGTTTGCAGCATGGCTGAACACTACTTCAAAGGCCGTAGCCAGTGCCCTCAGATTAAAAGAGCAACTAATTCTGTGTTCTAATTCTGCGTAATAGCAATTTACTGGTAACCATCTTTTCATCCGCTCTGTTTTTGTTTTACATTACACGGCTCTTAATGCCTACTAAATTTAGTGGATACAAGTAGGCTGAAATTAGAGTTTTGGTATGCAGTACTACAAACGTTTCTATTTTTTCAATGAGGTCTAAATGACCATGTGCTTTTATGAGTTTCCGATCCAACTCCTTGCTTTTCCATGATGATGTGTTACGGACAGATTTGGACACCGCTTCTACATTAGCAAATATTGACCTGTACATACCCAGATCTTCAAGTATTGCAAAGCTGAAAGGTCTTTATATCCAAATTCCTCTCGACGTCGATTCACGTTGCCGAAAGCTTGTGTAAACGTAGACTACTTTCCTTTTACAAAATTCCTCAACAGTAAATTTAAGTACCCCCTGATTAGAAACTTCGGTTGTGACTGCGTTCATTCTGCCGCATTTGTTATACACTTCTACTATGTTCTTCCAGGGTTGCTTATAAAGCCTCAATTATATCGTGTGTTCCATATTGCTCATATCCAGTAGCAGTGGATTACCCAAATAATCTCATTGGACGTTATGGTTAGCAAACGCTAGACGTTTTTAAGCGTTTTACATAACACTTTTCAAACAACTCTCATTTTTCAATACATTGTTACCTATATATTTGCTCTGCCCTTTCAAATTTGCTCGTATTGCATAGTTTCGTAATTCCGTTCCTCTGTGCCTGTCTGCATGATTGTTGACCCAACCAAAACTAACGGTAGAATGGGAATTTATTTGCCCTTTACCCTAGCCTGATGAAGCAAATGATTTTATTCCTGTCAGTAGTTGTATACAAGTCTGACGAATACATGGACAACGGTGTTTTCAGCTTGTAACTATTATTTCAACAATCCCTCGGAACTTGTGAAGCATTTATATTGTTACTTGTTATGAGCTATCTGTCCATTGCAACTATGATGTGTGTTATTAATATTTGGTATAGAATTCCGAGATTAGCATAAGGAAGATAAAATTATTCAGGGTTCACTCAGCAGTGCAGATGCTAGGAAGCAGCATTTTTCAAGCAATCATTGCGTAAATGTTATGAGCTTGATTTAATTATAGCTAGCCAAGTTTGCTGCTTGTCTTGCAAAGTATCAACGTCACATTTAGTATATACAGTCCAATTTAGGCACGTTAAAAACATTAAAAAGCTGAGGAATGGATTCTACATTATTTGCTACAGAGTTTTGTCTGTAACCGATTCACGATATATCGCACGTGCGTTTTGCCACTAGAAAAACAACCGCAGCTCGTACAACAACTGTTTGATTTGTTAAAGTACCACTTTATTATACCAACTGTTAAATGCATATTGTTAATTATGATAGCGTCCATAGCCAGTCATCAAGAAACAACATGGACACGATTTCTTGAAACGGTATAGTTGAGAGTTTTGCAAGCGATAATCTTTTCACCATCATAAAGCGTCCATTGCACTCTCAACTTTCCCTGAAAATAGACATAATTAACAGCATGTATAGAGCAGTTGATACGAAGAAATCTCCATTGAATTTCAAATTTCCTGTTCGCTTCGCGCTTTGTCGATCCAACTGAATGCAATTAGTATGAAGAATATAGCAAGTAGGGCGATGTTATTAATATGTTCCTATGTTTACTTCGAAGGGGCATAATGATGAGCTATTTTGAATAGATTGCAAAGTTTTATTGAAAAAACAGCTACACCCACTTGTAGAACGATGTTGAAAATGGTGGAAATTGTGCAAAACGGAGCCAACCCTGCGTACCCGGATTGTTTCTGTTTAAATCATGGTTAACTGAGTAACCTGGAACGTTCCTCTAGAGATAAAAGAGACTTACTAATATATAAGAAAGGTAAATGGGGATAATTTGTCGTATTAAATGATGTTTCCCATGACTCGACAGATAAAATGCACCAATCGTGGCGGCGGATTGCTTATTTTTGGAGTCGAACATAAGAATTGGATGATTTGGATATTCATACCAGCCTAGAATTTTCACTCTGGCATTTTGTAACAATCCGTCTATAAATTATAAAAGAAATGCACAGATAAGCTCTATTATTAGTTTTATAAACAACAATGCATCAAAAGAATTCCGACGATGGAAATTGGATCTACAGCAGTCACATGATCAATATATTTTGTTAAATGCTATGAACACTGATCAGCTTCTCTGATTTTATTCCTTTTAAACGCTTATGCTCTGCAGTACGCTGGCATTTCTACGCTCCTGAATCGAATGTTTTGGCGGCCAGCTAATCGGTCACGCCGCATTTGCGTATAGTCGATGGATTCGCGGTTAAAGTTTTGACAGACCAATGAAGATTGTTCGAAAATTATTCTCTTGCAATGTAAAGTTTAAGCTTTTAGCCAAAGAATAATTTTCATCTTCCAACTACAGAAATCGACTCACCGTAGACGAGGTAGACATCCAGGTTCGTGAAATGTGATTGGTATATTACGCAGTTTTCCTTGGTACAGCCATCCGTATCAAAAAGTATTATATTTCTCGGAACTAGTAAAACACGTGTTGAATTGTATAGAAAACAAATTTGCTCTTAATAATACTTAACAAAAAATAGATTCTACTAATACATGTATTATAAATTAAGTCCGGAAATTATTAGTATCTCGAAACAACGGCAATTTCTTAAATCTACGAAAATTCAAAACCAGTCTTCTTGCAAATGTAGTATTGTACGGCTTCACCAAATTAAATATTTTCACAACGAACGCGATTATATCTCATGTAGCAATTAGATTTCCGACGAACATTCAAGAAATTATACTGCAATTATTCAACGTAATTTCCGTTCAAAACGGCAACAGTACACACAATTTGTGCAGAATGTGTGAATATTGTTGAATTTGTTTTTGACTAAAAAACTGCATATATCTTTAGTAAGAACTTTATGTTTTGAATTATGTTCATGCTCTAATTAGTCAATAATCTTCCATGTTCAATTTTAGGTGCTCACCGTTTTAGATCATTTTTCCATGAAAAGATTTACTATAGTGAATGCGATTAAACTATTATGATAAATCTGGTTAGCTGAGAGTGCATGGTGAATGTGATGGTTTTCGGTGGTGTAATACTGTTGGCAGAGAGCTAATGGATGCGCTTACCACAAGCGGAACTCCTAGAAGTGGTGACTATCGTCAAGATTGTAAGGAGAACATGCACGATCCTGTCGATCCTACCCTTGATTGTCATTTTCAGGTAAACGATTCCACTCGAACTTTGAGACAGCGGAGAATGTGCCTATATATAACACCGGTTGTTTAGCTCTGAAAATTTACCTACGTACAAAACCGCTATATAATTCTATTATTTGGCACAGAATACAAAGTAGGTAATGGCTCGTGCGGTTCCTCACTTGTGTGTAACAGAACAAAGTTTGTTTATTAGCCAACCACAAATGACATGCGCATAGTTGACAAGCGTGTGAACTTGGTTTCTTAAAATGTCACCAAAACCATGCTCACCAATACATAGCCTTGCGTCGTAACTGTTGTGTCGCCTCATGTATCGGATTATGCTAAATAATTGTATCTGAGACATAACTGATTGTCGGTTAGCTATCAGTTGCTGTATGGAATACTCCGAATCGCACTCGACCTCCGCCGCGTTACTAACTCATTCATTGGATTCGTAACCACGATTTTGTTTGCAAAATTAGCTATGCGCATGCGTGCACATGTGAGAAACTTGTGGGTTGTAACGGTTGCAGTTCTAACCGAAGGGTGCTTGATCAATGGCTTACGCCTCCGTACCTTTATGTTCAAGGAACCTAGTGATTCGGTCCATCTTGTTTCTTACAGTACGGCCGCATGAATCATTGAAATGTCGCTTGTTAACACCAGATATACTTCCGAACATTTTGCCCCATACTATTTAAATCACTAATTTTACCCATATGTTAGAACGCAATTTAAACCGGAATGTCTCATTTAAAGACCGTCAAGTAGTTCTGACGAAGAATTGTGAAAGATCTTGATTTTTTGGTAGCGTGCTTCCCGCCACGTAGTCAAAATACTTCAGTATTTTATCCACCTGTAATAAAGCGATGAATTTTGCATACTTTTAACCAGAAAAGTCATCGACCATCAAATGCAAAAACCCTGCTGTGATCCGGATACATTTGCAGCATGATAAACATAAGTTATTCTTTATTTATTGTGTGTAAAATAAGTTTGGTGAAAGAAAAGTCAGCGAAATTTCAAAAAAGTAAGCTGTTTAACTCGGTGGTACTTTCACATCAACTAGCTGAGAGTTGGGAATGACAAAGAAAACTTCATTGGGAAAATACGAATTGAGATGAATTTTCCTAGTTTTAAATATGACCTCATACATCGTATATTTCGGTAGTTTCACGGTAAACCATTACCGATTCGAGAGAAGAAATGGGGTCGGTTACATATATGAGAATACTGTGGCGCCGCAGTTAAATGATTGATAAGCTCCTTGATCAATACTTGTCGGCGGTTATTTTTCATAGAGTATAATTTCGTTTGATCTAGCATCCTTGGTTCTATGTTCGGAAAACCTTTAGTGGTCCACTAGGGACAGATAATTTGAAAAATAATTTGACTATACTGCTACGCTGTTGCAAAGGTGTTTTGGAGAACATGATGAACAATAAACCATGATTTATCACGGGTAAAAAGGGATTCGCTTGACAATTTCCGTGGGATGGTTGGAGTAAAAATGACAATTGCAAGGATCATCGAATAAGTAACTCGTCATTTTAAGTGTCTACCAATTAAATACACTACTTTATATCAATCGTTTGAAGTGGGAATGGGATGCGGATAAACAAAACAGTATACAGAGCCGTTATAGTTCAGAAAATGCGTGAGAAAGAAAAAGCGGAAATGACAACGCTCACTCGTACGTTGTTTCATTTGACGGATGTGGTATGTTAATCCAGTTTAGATAAATCCAGACTAATCGCATTGACACTTCTGCATGTATCCTCACCGCCACGTTGCGGAGAAGGCCGTTAAGCCCATGGTTATGTTCGCGTTATATCGTCTTCCAAGTAGAACAGACTATCACAAGTAATGCGATTCGGAAAGTGTTTCATCTAGACTTTTTTAGAATAGCGTTATTTTAGGGGCAAGGATATTGTGGGTCGGAAGAACATTCACGGCACAAGGCACATGGAGGGATAAAAGGTATGGTCGACAATCAAGTCGACTGTAGTGCGTATCCAGTTTTAGCTGATGGCCTCTCAGGTTGTTATTTTGGCTCAGATGCAACAGATAGCGAAATGGGTGAATTGGGTTCGTCACTATAACATAATAACATGAGGTCTCCTTGCGGACGTCGATATTCACTATCGAACCATCTCAGGGCTGCCGTCTGCGTTAGTATGAGAGATGAAACTATCCTCCAAAGAGTTTTGTAGATCCAAGTTGTGGAGTTTCCAATGAATCGAGGTCGCGCTTGCACCAGGGAAGCCAGTTTTGGATCGCATATTCCATGTGAGACCCCACGTAGGTGTTCAGCATTTGCATAAATCTGATGGCTTAAAATTGCCGGAAATCGTATGTAAGAGTCCAAGATGTTGACTGGTTAATTCTGATGCCTTTTCAACCTGTCTCGAGTAACCAAGGTCGTCCGACACGATCGCCCCAAACTCGTTTTCTTGGGAAGAACGTTTTAACTGCTGGACCCCATGTCGATATTCATAGATAAGCTGATGTTGCATGCTTACGTCTTTGACCTTGGTCTCGTTGAACTGGAGCCGGTTTTCGGTGAACGTGGTGCGAGCCCAGTTGTGATAGTTCTGCAATACCATGTGATCTTCAACTATCCTGATATCATGCCAAATTTTGACATCCGCTGAAAGTAGTAGGCAATTAAACCGCAATACAATGGCAAGGTCGTTGATGAAAGCTAGGAATTAACTTCGCTTAAGTGCCGATTCTTTGGACACGTCACGGTTAACGTCAATTGTTCGGAAATGGAGCAGCGGACTCTCAAATTCAGCTAAGGTTGAGTGAGGACGCTGCCTAATCAAACGAGTCCACTGCCACAGATTCCATTGCATCGAAGCTTGTGAAAAAATGCTTTAATCCAAATAACCGAACAGTTTTGGGAAGTCAAGGTAGACAACTTCGACTTCCACTCACACATCGGCTGTCTCTGTCCAGCTTGCTCCGACTAGCAGCAGGATCGATTTCGTTGGAATCCGTGTTACTGTAACATTAGGATGTAATTTCTCTCAAGATATCCCTTGAGCGCCTAGGTAATTATACATTTCATTACCACTGAAAAACATGGAAATAAGTAATTGGACGGTAGTTGGACAGCTACGCACGAGTATCACTTTTGTAAGTACGAGTAACTAGCGCATTTTTTCAAATTGTGGGAACCTGTGTTTCGTCGAGACAACGTTGTAAGAACCGAGCTAATAGTTCGGCAAGTTTCATGGTCGCCGGCTTCAATGAATTTGGGTTCATGTCGTCTACGCCGCGTGCGTTGTGCACCCGCAATAACAATAGCCTTTTCATTACATCGGCTGCCGTGAACGATATGTGATTTTGACCTTGTGGGTGGCGGTGAGATCTGTGTCAAAAACAGTCGAAATGATGATCCAATCTGGAAAATGTGGATAAAGTGTTGGTGAAGCGCGTTGACTGCATCTTGTGTTGTTTGCGCCGAACAACTTGTTGCAGGTGAAACTGGGATCCCCCGCTGCACCCTCCGGAGCATTTCGGCGTGTCAATACAGCAATTTGGGATTTTTACTGAAGGTCAACACTAAGTTCCGTTGATGCAAGTCATCGCAGCCTACATCACTTAAGCTGCAATCTAACGCCTGTCACGGTATGAAGCAGTCGTTTTACTGATATCGCCTGCAGAACTCTGGGGCAAGCTGAAATTCGTCAAGCCCTTCGCAAAATAGCAAGTCGCTGACGATGGGATGATGGTTGCTGATGCATGTATGTGTGATCTCTCTACCTAAGTTGCGGTATCTTCATCTAGTTGGTTGAATATAATGAAGATATAGATCATATGAGAGTGATAAATGATCCGGGCGCGCTGCCTGACCGGTGTATCAATATGTTACGTAAGGATAGCTAATTCGAATTGCGCTTTACGAGGATTAGAGGATTTTAAATAAATGTTGATTTTGGGCAAATATTCCATTGCATGTTTTGACCTAGGCAAAGTTCGTATAATGTAAATATTAACTAACGCATTTAACCACATTATATGCTTATATGTTGCATGCAGCCAGAGGATTACTGTACAAATCATCAGGTAGCGGGTAGTTGTTCTCTGTGGTGCGTAGACCAAATACCTGTGCGAATGTATTAGAAAGGAATGTCGGCAAGATACCGATGCTTGCGAAAAACAGACGGTAATATTATCTCATTTCGGTAGTCTTTTGCTCTTCGATAAAGCGATACGCACTTCGCTGCTGTTACTGGAAGTCGTGTTTACAGGGACCAAACATGTCAGTTG